TACGTGTCGCAAGATTACTGTGTTATTACTATGCAATATTCGGTCTATCGGACCTTCGGTCTATAGGGATGACCCTCACACATACTCTCTTACACGCACTCATGTAGTTGATCTTGCAACCTTAATGGCCAGAGTTCGTAAGGCATACCTTCAACTCAATGTTGAGCTGTTTCTGAAGCGAGACCAGCCGCTGGTTTTCCGGTACCTCTGTGGCATCCCTCTCACCAATGGGGGAACCGGGCCTCTCTTCTGCACCTGCAACATACAGCAATGTCTCTCAAACTACTACACAGAGCTTCATAACAACACACTCTATAATTACAGTTACTTAACATTTAATAACATCACATAAACTCCTGCCTTCAAAAGCATCCTGCAACACGCCTGTTGTAAGGCAAGAAGATTAGTCATTAAGTCTCGTTTTATCACCAGCGAGCACAGACCAGACGGCAGTAGTATCATGGGTACAAGCACAATTTAAACTGGAGATATGACGTTGACGTAAACATCCCCTTAACACCAAGGGGAAATGCACAGTAAATACGCTGACTCATAAACCGAGCGCATGAAATCACACCGTTGGTAAAGGAGGAGACAAAGGGAGAGACTATAATATGGTAAAGGAATACGGCTATATATATTATACATGCTATTGGATTTAATGACTACGTGCCCGTCTATAACCTGAAATTATACGGTTCACATGCTTCATCGATCCACAAGGACAGCCAACTAGTTGGCAGTGAGTGAATCCACTGCTAGGCGGTTACATTTAGCATGTGGCTTGGGCACTGATTAAACGATGCTCGAACATGACATTGCGAGAGTGATGCTTGTAATCACGCTAGCCGCTCACTCGCTGAATCACCTGTTATATGAATCAGCACGGATGTGTTGAGATCACCGATCACAGCTATCGATCTACGCGGCTGCTGGTGATACCGACTGTGAACACCGGCCAACGCTAAGAGCATTTTCCACTTGGCAAGCTCCAAGCAGCCTCCTACATTCAACATTACACACGAAGCACATATTCACCACCGCACCTGCTATCAGACAGTGGCAACCCACATCATGGATGCGATGCCCGTTTACTCTGGTACCACTGCGACAAGAGTGTACACCTATCACACGACCCACACCAACGACCCCCAACGAAATCAGAACTACAAACGAGTACCTGCAAAATTGTGGCGAGTAGCAGAATCAGCATCTAACGTGAACGACTCCATGTTTCACACTGACTGAACATCCTGTATCCTGCCTACAGAGATTTACTGACACATCCTGTACCAGCCCATAGGTAACTAGTAACTCCTGCAGTGACCCCTAGTACTAAGTAGTCCTGTCCTAAGTGGATTTCGCCCATGCACCTAAGGCATAGGTAACTCCGGGCATAACCGGTGAACGCTAAACGATACCATGGTTACGGATTGTAAGCCTACCAGGCAAGTTTCCGGCTGGCTCGATAATTAGTACATTAAACAGTAGTGACATTGAAATTGAGCGCAAAGTTCACAGTTCAAACGGTTTGAAGTAATATTGCTAAACAGATACAGTTAGTGTGACAGACAAGTACTTTCATCTTAGCACTCGTACAGAAGACCCGTCGCCCGTTATAAGGATATATATCATAATTAGTAAATGACTTCATGAGCCTAAAATGTCATCACTTTTTAAGTGGAGTACTGTGCGAAAGTTACGACACGTCTTTTTATAGTTATATCTATTTACGTACATCTGACAACGAGCCCCTGTGCAATATATGATCAGGAGTAGATAATAGGGAATATCCTATAATGGGGAATTCCCTATTATCTACTCCTGATATATTATGCATGTGATTTAGGGGAAAGAAGAGGCATGTATTGCACTACAGCGTGTTCTACAACGACATAATTTTGCATAAAACACTCGCTTTTTGTTTTACGTGCGATAAGTTTCTCTCCCGTGGCTTTCCTTTGGTTGTTTTTGTTTGTTTGGAGTTCTTACATACCATAGAAAAAGCATTGAACAGTGTGCGAACGAAGTAAGGAACGTACGAACAGCAAGGAATGGAAACAGTCGGTGAGCCGTAATGAATCCTGCGACTGCTGCGAAATCTGTTCAGTGTGGCATCAGCCCCTCAGGCCGGAGCAGCGGCCCGCAAATTTATTATGCCACATGTTATAAATTACGCGCAGTTGTTTATTTACTTTACATAAACCCACATTCACCCCCACATGCTCTTCCGCGTCTGCCGAGGCAGCAGCCAGAGCTGCTGCTCGTGAGATTCTCACTCCCACACGATGCCGACTGCCAACGGTTATTTTAATCATCTCGGTCGTAAAAAAAAGGGCACCAGCCGGCATCACCGTCGTGACGAAGCCATGGTTGTGGTTTCCGCGGATGAGGACAGGGTTTACAAGGCTATAAATATATCTGCCATCATCTTGCTTTTTTTTCTCAATAGAGACACACTGTGAATTAGAGCTATCAGTAAACACGGCGGCAGTTTTTATGAACTTACACGGGAAGTGCTGCTGAGACAATACTGTAATGGGAATCACGGCTGGGTTAATCTAAAAACAGCAAATAGTTAAAAAAGCTATTGTACTTTAGTCTGCTGAGGCTGTATTTCACTACTAATTTTAAAACGAACAAAGGGGAAATTTTAGCTGCGTATATAAAGGAGCTAAAATCTGAGATTTCACCATTTTGCTGAGGATACAGGTCGATTTTAGCTCGAAAATCCCGGCTGCAAATTTCAAGACAATTTAGGGTCTTTGTATGTCTCGTAACATTACACCCAGAAGTAGAGCCTAAATATTTTGCGGCACGCCACAACTTGATATAGGCTTGAAATTGAGCATGAGATTAGTCATCAAATTGATGGATTCTAAATATCCAACCTCCGTTAATATGCAAATATAGTAAAAGTTTCAAGTGTCATGGAACTAGCAGCAAAAATGAAGGGCATGTGGCCCGAAGTCAGATACAGATACAGTCTAAACATCAACATTTTTTCATTGATCAATGACAGAAACAGTAAAGTTATGAGTTTCTCACAGGGAAGTCTGGTCCACGAGAAAAATAATAATAGTAAGACAGACGTTAAGAATAATTTTGTTTCTGACCATCTGTCCCTGAAACATTCGCATAAATACATACAGTATTTATACTTAAATTGACTACTACGTCACGAATTTTCCATGGTAAAATTTGTAAAAAAAATTGACATTTTTTACATTAAAAGTAAGAACTAAAGAAAGCCCTGTCTAAGAATTAAGCTCTGTTAGAGAATTAAGCTCTGTTAAAGAATTAAGCTCTGTTTAAAGCCCTGTCTACACTAGCAAACTTTAGTTTGCAAACTCGAGCAAAGTCCAAGTTTGTTAAAGTTTGAAGAAGTTTGTGGTGCCTGTCTACACTATGGTACTGACTACACTACACTACTGATACTGACTGTGAATTCCAATGTTCAATGTCCAATGTTTGTCTATCTGCAGGATCACATGACTACAAACTGTCATTTGATTGGCTAAGTTATTCCAAACCTCTTTATACTAGTTTGTCAAGAAGGTGCACGACCTAACTTCTGCAAACTAGTTTGCCAAAGTTTGTCAACTGGTCTACACTGGCAAACTTTGGAAAACTTTTCTTGCCAAACTCGGAGTTTGCTCGAGTTTGCAAACTAAAGTTTGCTAGTGTAGACAGGGCTTAAGAATAATTAAAAGAACGTTACTAAATATATCCTCAAACTCTCACCTGATAAAAAAATTTTTTTTAGTTTGGTTCAATTTGTAAAAATCTAGACGATTTGGTAATTTCTGTTGTCTAACACTATACTATTCGCCCAGTACTGTTCAGATACTGGCGTCTCTCTGTTTTTCACCGGCAAATTAGGGCATATAAAGAAGGTATTTAAGCATGAAAAGTAAACAGAAATACTAATTGTATTTTCATACATTTTATTTTGTACAAATAACACACAAATATACTACTTGATGGTGCTAGAAATTCGTGACGTAATCACTTTCAGGAACAATAATCAAGGTTTAATGCATGTGAATGTTAATGCTACTGTTTGAGAAGATTTTTACTCAGTCTTACGATATTGCTCAGATCACCACCACACATGAAGGACTCTGCAAATACCTCCACCAATTCTCTCGCTACACATGCTTACAGCAAAGAATCACTCATGACACCAGGCTGCTGGAAGCCCGATTTAATTGCACATCGTAAAATCGTACACTTTTACTGCATCTGCTGCACGTCTAGCCCCGTGAAATTGACGATATGTCGGGATGGGGCGTGGGCGGGTGGGGTAGAAGTCGGGACGGGGCGTGGGTGGGAAGGGTGGATGTTGGAATGGGGCGTGGGTGGGAGGGGTACATGTTAGAACGGGGCGTGGGTAGGAAGGGTAGATGTTAGAACGGGACGTGGGTGGTACGGGTAGATGTTAGAACGGAGCGTGGGTGGGAAGGGTAGATGTTGGAACGAGACGTGGGTGGGAGGGGTAGATGTTGGAACGGGGCGTGGGTGGGAGAGATAGATGTTGGAACGGGGCGTGGGTGGGAGGGGTAGATGCTGGAACGGGGCGTGGGTGGGAGGGGTAGATGTTGGAACGGGACGTGGGTGGTAGGGGTAGATGTTGGAACGGGACGTGGGTGGTAGGGGTAGATGTTGGAACGGGGCGTGGGCGGGAGAGATAGATGTTGGGACGGTGAGTGGGTGGGAGGCCGGGATAGAGGTTGGGATGAGGCCTGGGTGGGAGGGGTAGAGGTTGGGACGGGGAGTGGGTGGGAGGGGTAGATGTTGGGGCAGGGAGTGGGTGGGAGGGGTAGAGGTTGGGACGGGGCGTGGGCGGGAGAGATAGATGTTGGGACGGGGAGTGGGTGGGAGGGATAGATGTTGGGACGGGGAGTGGGTGGGAGGGATAGATGTTGGAACGGGGAGTGGGTGGGAGTGGTAGAGGTTGGGAAGGGGTGTGTGGGCGGAAGGGGTAGATGGAGGGACAAGGTCTGGGCGGGAGGGTAGAGGTTTGGACGGGGCGGTGTGGGCGGGAGGGGTAGATGTGGAGACGGGACATGGGTGGGAAGGGTAGATCGACAAGCATCAGCTTATGTTAAAAAACACTAATGACACAACGCACATATAAGATCACCGTTCACCGCAACAACAGCCAGAAATAGTACCCTGCCACTCAACCGCGCCACTCAGCACAGTTAAGACCCTACTTGTGGCCGGGCTGAATTTTACTAGCGCGCGTCAGC